AAAAAATATAATGCATGATATAGAGAGACTAATATAATTTGTGTGAAAGAAAAAACACAAAATAACGTATATGGAAAGCATTAATTCATATTTGTGAGATTTTAAAAAGAAGGATATATGCAAAATGCAAGACAGCATTTGTCTATGAGGAAGGAGAGAGGAGAGGCAGATTGGAGGTATTGAGAGTTCCATATTTTTTTAAATTGTTTTATTTGTTCCAATTAGTTATACATGACAACAGAATGCATTTTGACACATCATACATAAATGGAGTAGAACTTCTCATCCGTCTGGATGTACATGATGTGAATCACACTGGTTGTGTAATCATATATGCACATAGGGTAATAATCTCTGATTCATTCTCTAACCTGTCTACCCCCATACACTCTCCCCTCCCTTCACTCCCCTCTGCCTAATCCAAAGTACCTTTTTTAATCTTTAAAAATTGTTACGTTTTCAGTGCTGGAATAGAACCTGGGCCTTGAACATGCTGGACAAGCACCTACCATGACATGCATCCCCAGCCCTGGGGGGTTTGTATTGTTTCCTTTCTTGATATGAATGGAAAACCAGCAGGACAAAATGTAAGCTTTGGTCCTGTTAGGTAAGGGTGCTATGGTTACCTGCTCTTATTTTTGTGATTTTTGATGTTTCCCTGGTGTAGCAGGAATGCGGGGATGAGCAGATGCCAAAGCTGAGGGCAGGACCAACTCATCAGCCCAGGTCTGGGGGTTGGTGGCCTTCCTCCCCTCCCTACGGAGCTCTCCCTGCACCCTCAGTGGCCTCCAGCTGACCACTCCCCAGGCTCCTTCCTGTTATGACCCCTCTCTGTAGTTCACAAGAGCAGTGGCTGGTCCCTGGGGAAGGCTGCTTACCTGGGGGACCTAGCGCTGGTATATTGGCTCTGCGATCAGCAGGGGCTGGGTCGACCACAGGTAGAACTGGAACGATGTGGAAATGGCAGTTAGTAAGGACCAAAGTCCCTTTCCTGAGACAGACACAGGACACATCAGAAAAGGACTCAATTAACAGCTGGGGAAGAGCCCCCTGGGCCACACCTTAACCCAAATATCTGCACTGGCCAGATTGCTGATGAGCTGGAGCTAAGGTCAGGGAGCTGACAGAGAGCTCCCAAGCCATAACCTGCTGCTCGATGCCTTCACCCCGTTAGCCCTGCGTCAGCAATAGGTTCTGCAAGAGGGTGCTTGGCTGTAGCGAGATAAGTCACTGAAGAATTTGGCAGAAGTAGCCGGGCATGGTGGCACACTTCTGTAATCCCAACAGCTCGGGAGGGTAGAGGCAGGAGGATCATGAGTTCAAAGCCAGCCTAAGCAATGGTGAGGCACAAAGCAACTCAGAGAGACCCTGTTTCAAAATAAAATAGGGTGGGGATGCAGCTCAGTGATTGAATGCTTCTGAGTTCAATCCTCAGTACCAAAAAAAAAAAAAAGGAATTGGGCAGAAGTTGTAAAATTCATAATATTCACAAGGAAGCTGACTGTCCTTGATGAGCCCCCAGAGGATGTTGTACAGCCCAGTGATCCCTTTGCCTGCACATCCACCTGGATGGTGAGGCTGAGCCACGGCAAGACCCACCGTGGGGTCGCTGCTCTCACCTGATAAGACAGTTGGCAGCTTTCCATTGTCTGCTCAGAGGGAAACATAAAATATATATATATTTGTCAGAAGCATCTGGCTTTGTTAGTTTGCTCATGTGTGAAATTCCCACACTTTCCTCTGAGGAGAGAGAGTCGTACAGATGGGGCTACTGGCATTGTTCCGAGCGAAGCCTGTGGCTCTCAAGTGCAGGCATCTGCAATACCTTTGCCCAAGAGCAAAGCTGCTCTGAGAGGAGTCACATGCCCAGTGCACACACATCATTTGTTCAGTGCCTAGAATGTGCCTAGTGCTGTGACAGGTGCCAAGGATACAGTGATGAGCAGGACAGGTGGCACGCTCGCCTCCTGGGTCAAAGTCTGGAGCTGCAGGTGACACTGGGTGTCACACGTTCTCCCTGATCCCTTGGCAGTGAGAATCAGCTCATTGACAATACATCACACCAGCTTTTGGGAACTCATAGCTCACTGCCCTACCTGATGACGTGGCTGGGTGGTCCACATCTTCTGGGACAGTGGCGGTTGACAGAGCTGTTGAGAAAGAACACGAGGAAAGAGGCTCCTGGAATTCAGGATTGAAGAGAAAGACGAGGGCCCTCTGCATCGGCCTCACGTCCCCAGGAGAGTTCGATTCCCTCTTTACAAACAAAATGGAGAACTTTAAAAGGAACCAGCAGCTGTGAAAACGTGCCAGGTGTCAAAGCATCGTCACATATTGATTCCAGATTTATGAAACATTCAGAATAGGTAAAAACACAGAGGGAGAAAGCAGGCTGGTGACTGCTCGTCTGGGGGACGAGTGGGAGGAGCAGCAGCGCCATGTCTCTTTACCCGCTCTGCAGCCCGGGAGCAGAAGCCCAGTGCACAGGACGCACCAGGGGGCCGAAGACCCCCTCGCTTAGCACAGACGGCGCTGCAGGCCCTCCGCCATGTGTGCTAGGTGGATTCGCATCTGTGTGATTATTCATTTAATAAGCATTGAGTGCCCCGCAAGGAGCAGGCACACAGACACTGTTCTTGGGACGCCGTGTGCCTGGTGTGTGTGTGTGTGTGTGTGTGTGTGTGTGTGTGTGTGTGTGTGTGTGTGTCTAGGGCTGAGGACAAAGTCAAAGGTGAGAAAGATCTGGATTCTGCCACAAGAAGCTGACAACGGTCTTTGGGGAAACGATGGATCCTATGTGACTGTCTGAGACAGGAACAAGAGTTAAAAGTGAGGGCAGCTCAGAGCTGTGCCACCTTCTATGCAACCACACAAGCGTCTGGGAGAAGGAAGTGCAAGAGTGAGAAAGGGAAACGCAGGCTCCAGCCATACATAACTGCCCACTCAGCTCTCCTCGACACACGTGGGTCCTCTTGGTTTCCGAATAGGGAATGCACCTCGTCACCTGCTCAGTGGGTAACGGGATTTTAACGTGGTTCAGGGAGTTTAGGAAACTTTAGCGACTGGGCTCTAGGACTCTCATGTCCCATGGTTTGTGTTATTGTCCATCAACCTTAGGGACAATACCTAACCTAGTTGAGCAGGATTCTCTCTATTTGGAAATGGAGATTACCCTCATCTGCTGTTGGAAGAATTAGATAAGAAATCAACACACTGCATTTAACACAGTGATTATAGTGGCATAACATGAAGGCTTTTAATGGAAATTAAGCCAGAGTTTTGTATGTAGCTTAAAATTTTTTGGTAACTACCTTTTAAAAAAGGGGAAAAACACAAATGAAATTAGTTTTGATAATATATCTTAATTCAATATGCCAAAAAATTATCATTTCAATATGTAATCAATATAAAAATGTCAATGAACCATTGCACATTCTTTTTATAGTTCTGTTTTTTTTAACAACCATACTGAGGTGTAATTGATATACCAAAACCCTACAGATGTTTAATGTATACAATTTGATGAATCTGGACATAGGTATATAAATGTGGTGCCGTCACCATAATCAAGGAAATACACATACCCTTCTCTTCCAAGTTTCCACGTATTTCTTCTGTGTGTGTAGTAAGAGCACTCACTGGGATCTACCCCCTTAGCAAATCTCTAAGTGCAGGAGATAGATAGGCTGTGGGCACTATTGACTGCAGATTTCTAGCACTTATGCATCTTGCATGGCTGAAGCTTCACGCCATTGAGCAGCAGCTGCCCACTGCCCTCAGTATTCGAAAGATACCGTGTGTATCTGACCCACGCAGCACATCTCCTTTCCCACTTGTGCTCAGAAGCCACATGAATGCTGCAGGCAGCAGACTTACTGAAGATTGTCATTGGCGTGGTCAGACCGTGGATTATACAATGGTTTAATTGAAATGTCAGCTGTTACAGATGCGGGAGGAGTGGAGATAGCATTAACTAGCACAAGGATAAAGTGAACGTGGACTGTAATGGTGACCACTGCTCACCGTGACCAGGGAGGGCTGTGCCTTCTCCACGTGACTCACCTGTTTGGGAAAATAACTAAATCTTACCATGTTGGACGTTTCCCAGACATTAGGCGGAGGCTCTACTTTATTTCTTAAGTTCAAAATAACTAAGTCAATTCCCTTTTTCTACATATACACCAACCTCTTTTCTTCTTACCCTTTGCATTTGAGAAAGCATGTGAAAGGAGAAACCTTGAGTTACCATGTTCTTTGACAGTAAAATTATAGATAGTCAATTATAAGGTGAATCTGGACAGTGAAATGCAGACCATCTCATCCCTTTTTTCTCAAGTCATCCAATCTTGAATGAAGCACGACTGGTACCTAGTGACGGTGGCAAAACCACTACCTGCAACTGAGGAGCTATGGTAGAAATGGAAATGGCAGGGTGGGAGGGTCCTACCTGGTGATGTTGGACTTGCAGCAGTGATAGGAGGAAGCTTTGTTGAGAGGGCAACAGGTAGAACTGGAAGAAAGAAACACCTGTTAACAGTAAGTTACTGCTTACAGCCACTGGAGGGAGGTGTGGCACCCAGGGCTCCCGGTGACTTCACTAGATGTAGTTTGTCTCCACTCCAAAGTGACCACACATAAGCAATGGAAATGCCAAGCCACCTCTTAGCCACTGGACTCAGTATTCTCCTTCCCTTCTCTGCCAGACATGGAACCCAAGGGCAGGTATTCAGTGCTTTGTGGTAAGGATCATGTGCTTTGGGTATTAATATTCTCCCTGACTGTCAGCTCCATGGCCTGGCCTTCAGGGTCCCCTGACCCTTCTATCTGCTTGTTCTGCTTATTTGACTTTTGCGCCTGTTGCATCACTGGCGTTTCTGATTAGTAGGTGTTGTTTGTAGGTGTAGTACTATTTGCAATTGCTGTTCCAGTTTGTAGGTGTTGCACCAGTTTCTAAGTGTTGAATTGTTGTAGGTGTTTCACTGTTTTACGGAGGTGGCACCGTCTGTAAGTGTCGAACTGGTTATGGTTGTTGCACTATTTTGTACATGGTGCGCAGTTGTGGGAGGAGTACAGTTGGTAGGTAGGGCACTGTGTGAAGGCAACCCGGGGTTTGTAGGTGGTGCACTGTTGGCAGGCGCTCGCCTTCTCTCCTGTGCTGCAGACTGTCCCCATGTCATATCTGGCCATGGGAGCTACTTACACTCCCGAAACCCAATCCCTTGCCTTATTTGGGTTGAACGTTCTCCCCAATAAATAGAGGATTTTCAGGTGGCTCCTCTTTCTTTCCAACAGATCCTCAGGGTCGAGAGCCGCCCCTGATTCCTATAAGCAAAAGGTATTTCTGTGTGTTGAGTGCTTCTTTTACCATTTTCTTAAGTTATTGGTGCAGCCAGCTCTTGTGAACCCAGCTCAGGTCGCCAGCTCGGTTAGCTGGCGGTATTGTCCCACACCTTTCTTCTCTCTGCTTGCTGTTTGGGTCATCATATTTCAATGTGTGACTTTAGTGATGTGTCCATTTCTGAGCCATACCAACTAGGAGACTATTTTTCATATAAAAATGTAGTAAGCAAAATGTCACCCCTCCCCCAAGCATGTCCACATCCTAATCCCAGAAGCTGTGAATACACCAGGTTACAGGACAAAGGGCATTTCGGTTACAGATGAAGTAAGGCTGCTCATCAGTGCCTTAAGATGGGAAGATGATCCTGATTACCCAGGGGGCTTAATGTAACAAGGCCCTTAGAAGGGGAGGCAGGAGAGAGAGATTGGAAGGCACTAAGATTCTTGCTTTGATGATGAAAGATTTTGCCAAGGAATGTAAGGGCTGGTAAAAACTGGAAAAGTCAGGGAATGACTCCTCCTTTTCCAGAGATTCCATAATGAGCACAGTCAGCGACAACTTGCTCATTGCTTAGATAATTAAGTCCTATTTTGGATTTCTGATATCTAGAACAAGACAATAAAGCATGTGTTGTTTAATCATCGAGTTTTGGCCATTTGTTCTAGCAGCAATGGAAAGCTCATCCAATAATCAAACATAAATGCAATCAAATAATTGTTCCTTTGGAGACAAATTAAAACGTGTCATTTATAAAAAATGAGAGAGTTTCTCAGAGCACTTGGTCACATTCATGCTTAAAGATAATTATAAAACTTATGTTCCAAATAATTTCCAGTATTTTTTAAACAAGTATTGTTATCTCTATTTTTTTACAGTTGATAGTTAATTCTATTCAACAATTTAAATCATGTCTTTGAAAAGATATTGAGAATGGTAAATAAGTGATAAATCCAATATTTCCTTCATCTTTCTAATCCTGCAGTCTTCCTGATGGATATAATTAATGGAATGGAAACATTTTAAGAATAACCTAAACCAGGAGTCATGGGAAATCTTTCCTGCAATTATATTGAAAGAAAGGACTCAACCCATATTGCTTTACTGATTTACCTATCCACCTGCCTAAAAGCTATCATCTTTATGTTTTTGAAGGACATTAGTGACTCTACCAGAATGATGCCCTGGAAATAATTCCTAATTATAAGAGGGAGGTTCTGATGAGTCATTCAGTAAAAGTTTTCTACAGCCACTCTTTCTCCTCCTTTCTGTATTTAGATGGTGAAACAGACACATCCACAGGGAAAACAGCACAAAAAAATATTTCTCTTACCTGATAATACAGTTGCTGAATTTCCATCACCTATTGGTGCAAATTAATTGAAACATAAGTTATTTAATGGAGTTGAATAACTTTTACTTTATCTACATAATGGCTTTCAATAAATCTTTAATATGACAGGTTTAGAATACAAAATGTAAAATACAGTCAATTCCTGCTGAAACACGGCTTTGAACTTAACAAGCTCTCAGAAATATTTGCTGAGTTGATTGATTTGAAGACACTGTAGGGATAAAACCTGAACACACGATACCAGCAGGCAGCTGGAATGCAGGCAGCTGAGAACAAGCTACCCACCATAGGAACACAATGACCAAACTGTGGAACCGGCCTAGGTGTCCACCAACAAAAGAATGGCTGAAGAAAATGAGGTATACATTCCCATGGAGTTTTAGTCAACCATAAAGAAAAATGAAATCATGTCATTTGCAGGAAAATGGATGGAACTAGAGACCATCATGTTCAGCAAAATATGCCAAACTCAGGTCAAGGGTCATGTGGAGGCTAGAGAGGAAAATGGAAAAGAAAGATGTGTATGGGGAGGTATCTCATGAAAATCAAAGGATGATGGTACAGTAGAGAAAAGGGACCAGAGGGAGGGGAAAGAGGAGGCAAAGGGGAAATGCCAGGGAACAGTATGGGCCAAATCATATGGTTCTGTGGTGTGCAGGTGTGGATATGTAAAGATGGATCCCACCATCGTGTACAATCACGAGGGCAATAAGTATGGAAAACATCAAGTTCAAACTATAATGTCCTTAATACACCTAATCTATTGAACTTCATAGTTAGCCACTCCGTACACTCTACCGTGTCATATTAAAGATTTATTGAAAGTGCCCGGTGCTTCCCCTTGTGATCCCAGTGTGACTGGGAGCTGCAGCTCACCAGGGAAAGATCAAATTCAAAATTCAAAGCAGTCTCTACCCAATGCATATTACTTTTGTACAATAGCAAAGTAAAAAAGATCATGTGGAACCATCATAAGTATGTATATTATTATAATTATGTTGCATATAATGTGTTATAACATATGATAGTTATATAAGAGTAGTGAGTGCACGAATGAAAGGGAAATAAGCAGAAAAATGACCAACTGACCAACAAAACCCTTTGCTAATTACTAGAATTAGAAGGGAGGGAACCCTCCCACACCCTGCAGTATAATGAACCCTCCTTGCCTGGTGAGCACCATCTTCCTGAAGGAAGCGTTAGCCTTTGTTGAAGGAGGACCACTGAGTCTTTGATGACTAGTACATTGTTTCCAACAGCCACACTGTACAAATGTGGCTACTTTTAAATTCAGTAAATATGTACTTTAAACACATTAAATACCAAGCACTGCCCTTGGCTCCGAGGTGAAAAGCTCTGCATGGTTCCTGCTCTCACTCAACCCACACCCTGGAGAGAAGGCCAAGGGGATCCGGGATGAGCCAGGGAACCAAGGAAAATACAAAGCCAGGGGCAGACGGAAGAGAAAACCAGCAGGGTGACCAGTCAGCGGGGGACCAGACAGGGAAAGGGCTGGCTGCACCCTCAGGGAACCCCCTCTGAGGGAGGGGCATTTTAGCTGAGACTCGATGAAGAGGAGCACCCCCCCACTCCCCCGCCGCAAGAAAAAGATCTGGGAGGGAAGAGACACATTTGAACAGAGGGAAGAGCCCCCACACGGGCCCAAGGCAAAGTACTTTTTTGTCAAAGGCTGGAAAAAAGATCAGAGGAAGGCCCTGTGCAAGATGAGGCGTTTCCCAAAGGTCAGAGAGGTGCACAGGATCAGGTCCCACGAGGACGGTGTCACTGACTGCACACCGCTCTAACACAATGGGCAGGAAGGGGTTTGAGTGAGGGCGGATGATCTGATTCACGGTTCA